CCTTTCTACCCTTTTTAAAAATGGGCATGCTGTTACACAAAAGTCTGAAGTCTGATGGGCTCTATAGGGACAGCAGGGTGTCGTGCACAAAAATGTTGAAGGAGTGAGAAAATGTTTCTGTAGGTGGCTGACATCCTGATGTATTGGATGTATTTTAATAAAGTCAAGCACTGTTGGGGAACAATAACCCAGTGACTGCATGCATTGCTAATTTTAAAATATGATTTACAGGAGATGCATTAGCCATTGATTTTACTCAGTCTTTTTCTTGTTTTCTGGAGTTGTTTCTTACATCGAGTCTTGCTGTGTGATTCTCTTGCTGAGACCAGCCTTTAACTTAGTAGTAGTTAATGTTTCTAAATTTTGTAAGACCGTTCCACTGATTTTTAAGTCATACAAGCAGCAAATGTGTCCTTCTAAGCTTTCATTATCACTGTATTTATAAGAGAAAGCTTTTAAACTTTGTGTTCGTAGCACACAGAGGTGATTGATGTGCCTGACTGTCCCTGGCAGGTCTGCCCAGGCTGGCTGCCTACGTGTTAGTTCTTGCCTTTTACAAAACATAGAAGATAGCCAAGGTTTTCATGCTGGGCGGAGGTGAAGTCAGCAATAAACACTTCTTCCTAATGCTCTTCTGAAGGCGACCACCTTCAAAGGGATTTTAAATGTGTATGGTTTAATTTCTTACATTAGCGAAAGTTCTCAAAGGGCTTAGTTTACGATTAAGGAAAATTAGGTGCTATTCCGCTCTTAGGGAAGCCTGAGGGAAAAGGGTTTTAGCCTATCATTTTTTAATAGCTGTTTGATGAGGCTAAAAACAAAACCCTTATGTTTATTGTTTTGGGGTTTCATATTAATGTATGTGTTTTCTTTTTGTAAAACTTCCAATATGAAGGGACAAAAACTGCTATCTGTACAGATACTATTACAGCGAGTTAAGTACACAAACACAAATGCCCCCATAGTTATTTACTATTTCTAGAGAGCATGTGATAAAAGGATCTTTTTGAATTTAACTTTGGCTCCCACATGCTCTTTTTGTTCCAACCTGGTAAAACGGGGTGTCTCTCACAGCAGGTTGAGCGTACTCTCTGCAATCTTTTGTCTTCTTGTTTGGCTACTAATAACCGCAAAAATTGACCAAGCAAAACGGTGAAGAAGTTGAGCCAGCAGTTGCCACAGTGACAGTTGTCCAATATAAATATCTTACAACTCTTCTGTTTATCATCTGTTTTCAGGGCAGTTTAAGCTGCTGGAACAAGACCGAGATATTAAGGAGCCAGTGCAGTATTTTAACAGTGTGGAGGAGGTGGCTAAAGCATTTCCTGAACGAGTTTACGTCATGGAGGAAATAACATTCAACGTTAAGGTAGTCCCTGAATAAATATTTATCCCTGTCTAAATGATTAACTGTTACAACCTTTATATACATGGCAAGTGAGCAATGGCACTGTGTGGGAAGTGTGATTTTTGAGACAAACAAACCTTTAGTGTTCTGCGTTCAGTGATGGTGCTCTTCGGGATCGTTTGTGCAGTTTTAAATCAACATGTCCTCTAAGGGCTCTCCTGTCCTATGGCACTTTGGGGAGCAGTCCTGATGATCCATCCAATAATTCATCTAATTAGGATGCTTCTGCCAGCTTTTAAACAAATGTTGTTTGTTGCTTTTTCAGCAGTCTGAATTTTATTCTCTGCTAAGCAGCAGCTGCTCAAATCCCTGTCCAGAAAGCCTTATTCTCAGAGAGCACGCAGGGTAAAATGATGGGGTTGCTTGTCTCAAAATTACTGCAGCTAAATAGCATTTTGAATAAAACAAAACAAAAAAATCAAACAAAAGACACACTTGTTCTCTGTGTGCGTGTGTGTGTGTTTGCATGGGCATGCCTCTTGGGCTCATCAAAGGGTCAGCAATCCCATGAGCGTAAGAGAGCTTGCTATCACCAAGCACACTGTGATGCAGTGGCACAAAACAATGAAGACAAAATTGTTCTTCCTTGTCCTCCTGTACGTGTGACACTACACAAGGTAGGTCAGCTCTGCCAACAGATCAGAGTGGTCTACAACCCCGTCTGGTTTGCTTCGGTTGACTAACACCATCTCAGAATGGTAGAAGAGCATCCTAGAGCTGGGATGCAATGGTGCAGATCCACATCATGTACCCTACAGGCAAAACTGGTTGATAACTGTTGGTGCAAACCAATATAAAGTTTCCTGGTCCCGTGTGCAGCAAGGTGGGGTTTGTATAACAACCGTTTAATGGCTTTTTCTCTTTCTTGCACTGCTAGAGTTGGGGGACACCAGCTAGTTCTCAGTTCTTATAGGTGTGAAACAAGATTGCTGAAGACTACTGTAAAGTGCAAGAGCTCATCAGTTAATTCACTTAGTGACACAGACTCATGCCTTTCAAGACAGTACGTTGTTTTCATTTATGCTCTCCATTAACCTGAACCAATAAAGCAGAGTCTCTTATGAATGAAGTCTATATGAGAAAGTTGGAACACTTTTGTATGTTTAGGTTGTAGTTGGGCAAATCAAGGCAACAAGAAAAATTTCATTTCTACCTAAGAAAACAGTCTTATTTTGGGACTACTAGCCTTATCCAGTGCTGTGCCATTATTTCTCAGTTGATCAATGAACAAATCAAGATAGTGGCACAGTAAAATGTGCAGCTTTGATTTTATAGGGAGAAAAGTATTCGTCTGCAGATGTGTTTAAATGTAAAATGTTGTATTTTGAATTTAATATGAGTGTTCTTAAAACTCTTTGTCTTATTTAGCAAACTGAGAAATAAACATAGCCTACTGTTAGATGTCAAATCCATTTTTGAAAGGTATTATAGCGATACTCCTTAATGTAAGTAACAGTAATAATAATCCAGGTTTAACCTAGTTACACAGTTATCTTGGCAGTATTTCTCTTGGCAGTTTTTCCAGTTTCATAGAAGTCTATTCCAAGGCTATCATCTTCCAAAAAATAAATGAACTTAACAGGATTTATTAAAGTGCTTAATAACCCTTTACATGCAAGAGAATTATGTATGCTAAAATTTTAATATAGGGGAGATCCTGTCAAACTGATTAGAACAAAGGGAGGAATACTAAGTACGGTTGATTTCTGTCCAATGCAGCGTGCCTATTTTAAATTCAGAAGAGGGTATCAGAAGGTAGCTAATCTGATACAAAAAGGAAAAAAAAAATGCCTACGATAGCTGATGAAGCATTTGAGATGAGGAGAAACTCTGAAGTCTGGGAATTCTTTCTTATTCCAAACACTCAAGTCTTTCATGGATAACTTTTGATGAAAAAGCCTGTATAGCTACAAGGTGCCACCAGGCAGTTACTGCATGATTTTGTCTGTGCTCGTTGAGGTCTACCTGCATGTGCCAATATGCCATGGTTATGGTTCAGCTTCTTGCGAACCGTGCAGCTCCGGTAGGATTTTACAGCTAGCGCTGCCATTCAACAAACTGCCTTCTCACTGTGATGGGCCGTGGGATCTTCTCCAAGGGGGTTACTTTATTTTTATTTTGTGTATTTATTGTTAAAGGCAAAAATAAGCCACCTTATCCTGGGGGAGGCCGGGGAGATGGGAGTGATGGGTCTTCCTTCCTTCCTTCCCCACATTTTTGCAGCTAGGCAGGCTTTCTGGGCAGTGCTCTGAGGCAGGGGGTTTGGGACCTGTAACACATGCCATGAAGCAGAGTTGGAAGGGAAAGGTGGAGTCACTTTTCACAGAATAGCAAACAAAAATGTTAGATTAAACTAAATTTTTGTTGGCTAACACTACTTCTGGTCATTTCTTTGGATGTACATACATATCGGTACTGTGCTTGTATACCCAGTAGGTTGCCTCAGGTACCCAGTGGCCAGCAGCATCTACAGGCACAGCAATTTAGAGTGTTCTGGAGATAACCTAATTTCACTCAGTCAATAAGTATTTAATCTGTTCCTAATTTAAAATGAGAGGCATTCCATCTTTTCTTCACTGACCAGATAGATGATAACCTTTTTGTATTAATATGCAGTGCATAATTGCAGAGAATTTTGTTTATGTAACAGCATTACACTACAAAGATGAGGATTTTTTTATTATCTGTGCTAGGAAGAAAGTTGAGCTACCCCAGGGCCCTAGCTTTTGCTGAACCAACAGCAGTCAGATGCTCTGGTCCCATACAGGTGGCGGTCCATACAAATATCCAGGAAACTGTTGGCGTTAAGACTTAAAAACAAAACCAGGAACAAAAACCCCATGTCATACTGAAGACAATTCACAAAAAGTTCTCTTAAAAAGCAACAATATTGTCTGATAAATTGGATGTTGGACAAGCCATGAATTCCTGCACTCTAAAAACCAGCCCAATTAGTGTTGTAGGACCCTTCAAATCTTCAGGGATATCATTTTTGTCCTGATGATATCACTTGGTCTCCCAGGAGAGGTGGTGAAGTAGTTTGCAGAGCCTTTCCAGGGTGGAGAGGTAGGTTAGGTAACTAGCCTTGTAATGATTCTTTTCTTTCCTATCAAAGACATTGTTTGGCTGATGTGAACTTTTGATACCCAGTTTGATTATCTTTTTAATGCAATCTTCTTTTCACAGTGGTTTCACTGTGTTGGCCCATGCAGCATGTATTTTGTCAGAGATAAATATATAGTGAAAACAATGCTTGCTTTTTTTTTCTTTAACAAATGTTAATGCGGTACGGGCAAACAAAATTGATCTCCTGATTTGGTTGGAATTGCATTGGCTCTGATAAACTTGCCCTGAGTTTCCAAAAAGCACATATTTAGAATGCTGTAACCTACACTGGCGTTTTTAAATGCTGCAATAGCAACTTTCTTGAAATCAGTCCATGCACAGGTTTTAGCTCCAGATTTGCAGGGAATTCATGGTACTTCACCCTGAGAATTAGTGCTTCAGTCCCCTCATCACCTTGTGCCTTGACGCCATCCTTTGAGCGAGCACCATTGCTTCGCGATGGCTTTGTGTGCTGCTTTTCCTGACATCCCATGTGAAGAGACCCTTCACGTTAGAGCTCTGCAGTATTACCTGTCACATTTAGGGTAGTTTTTGGAACACTTTGTTTTATTTGAGACATCTTGAAACAACACTGAAGCCAGCTGTTAATACAGTAATCAGGGCAAAGGCCCTCTTAGCTCAGAGGGAAGCATGCGTATAGTAACATAAAGAGTTGTACTTGCTGATTCTCTGTCTTGGGACACAGATGTTTATAAAATAAAAATGGGATGCTCTCTCACTGAATTTAGTCAACTTCTTCAAAAAAGTATTTTTTTTCCTGCTAATATCTCTTCTGAAGACTATTTTATATTAAAATAATCTTTATTCATTTTGGGGAGTTGGTAAAAAGTAAAATAGGATTTTTTTTTAAGTGCTCTGATCGGTCCCTTGGGTTTAATAGTAAAAACTGTATGCAGTAACTATGAATCAGAGACCTCAGAGTTAAAAAGAGCTCTACTAAAAGAAATCCTAACTGTGAATTTTTACTGTGAATGCAGTGTTTGCATTACTCTAATAAGATCTAGCAGGTATAACAAGCGATATGAAACCACAAATCATTTTTATAAGGAGTTCATATGTGTCCAAGTGATTAAAGACTTCTACTTCAAACTCTAATAAATTAGAACAGTTGGAGTCCAAGACAGGATATTGACTCAGGTGTTATCAAAATCTATTTTTCTGAGTTAACCTTTCCTTAAGCAAAAGAAACAATATGCTTGAGCTTTCCCAAAAGAATACGTTTCCTAAATAATCATTCATCACTTTCCTGATGCCTGTCTTCTGCAGTAGATGGCTTCTGAATTGTTATTGAATTCCAGGAGTCTTAAAATTTAAAATGTTATAGTGACTTAACCCACTGCTGTTTTGCAATGTGTTTGATAAGATGTCCGTAAGCCAGTAACCTTTCTGATCAGCATCCTGGCATCAACAGTGAATGGTTGGTGTGGAGCAACATCTGGCAGTAGGGAGGTGGAGGGTAAGTACAGCACGGAGTAGGTTCTGCTTCTGTGGGTCCGTGGCGTTATGAGTTGTTCCGTTTGAATATCTACTAGGGACTTCTAGGTGGCTTTGGAGTACAGCATGGCAAGCACTGCCTCTTCCACAGGGCTGGGCGCACTGAGTATTCTCACCTATGAACACAAAGTGACAACTGGCTGGGAAGGGCAAAAGAGGAGCGAGGGGGAAGTCAAACTGCAGGAGTCGTTCTAATGCGTAAAGCATCGTCGTTATAATGTGTAAAACAGAGAGAACAGCCATGAAGATAAACGTGTTTGGGGAAGGAGTTATTTCAGAATGTTCCCAAGGCTAGTAGTTTAATAACTGGAGGAGACTTTGTGTTTATCAGGTAATGACAGCAACTGGAGGTATGATGGTTACTGCTGCATGTTGTTGCACTGGAATTGTCCAGTGAAGAATTCCTGGTTTAAATAGAAGATGTGAGGAGTGGGGACACACAAAAAAAAATAAAACAGGAGGGCACAGTCACACTGTGGAGATGTTTGAGGAAAGGGTATTGTCCTGCCCTCCTTCCCCCCATTCCTTCAGCTGGTCTCAGCTTCCGACCAGTTGCAAGTTCTTCATGCCTGAAGGTTCCAAACCAAAGCTGGCCGAAGTCCCAGAGGAGGCCAGAGCATTGCTCAGCTGTGGGCAAGGCAGGAGGAGGGACATGAGCTGAAAGTGTGGGGCAGAGCGGGGCTGCGCTGGGACCGGAGCCGGCCCTCCTGGCTATGTTATGCAGCTGAATGAAGGCTTCTCAGGTGCTTTCTGCCTTCTGTAGCGTTACTTGTTTTACAGAATCATGCATGGCATGATTTTTCTTTTGTTCTAGCACAGCAAAATTCAGCCTTATTTTGCCTATTGTTATCTTGTGACTATATTATAAAAAAAAAATGAAAGAATATTTTCCAAATTTTTGAATTGAGAATAATTTTGTCTTTAACAATGCCTGTCGAATCTAAAAAGCCATTTGCTGTTTGGCTGGTTGAAATGAATGCCATTAATAAGCAGCTGCTTCGTGAGTCCTTCATTGTGAAGCTTGGCCAGTTAGTTACCTCTGTGGTTTCACATCTGACCCACCGTTTCCTTCTACAGCGGCTTGTTTGTTTGTGAATCACCAGGGAACTGCGAGTCGGCCAAGCGGGAGCTCCCACAGCCGTAGTTGTGGCACTTCCCTTGCTCCGGACGGTGTCCTGCGGGAAGCGAGAAAAAGCTGTAGCTGTACCGTCTTGAGTTAAAATACCTGGCAGCATAGCTGGTGTTGTCCAAAGAAGCCATTTGTGGGGACTTGTTGGTGCTAGAAACCAATATGCTTGCAGAGCATGCCCTCTCGGAAAGAGAAGAGGGGGAATGAAGGGTACGTGCACAGAGCCCTGCGTGTCCTCAGCCCTTACCAGCTCCACCGAAGGCAGGGCTGTGGGGCCACAGCCCAAAAGCAGCGCTCTGTGGCGAGTTTGAGGAGAAACCAGTAATGAGCATCACACCGGTGTTACTGGCAAATAAACGAGTGCTTTCCTTTCATGTCGTCATGTTTCAAAATACTATCTGGCCAGTGGTGTGAACTGTGAATGAGTATTACGTACCGTAAATCCTAGTAGTTTCCTGGATTAGACCAGTTAGTGTTTGTTTAGATAATTTAGGACTTGAATGACTTCCCCTCCGGAAGCCCCGAGAGTGAAGTGCTAAGGCGGCACACCTCGGCTGAGCTGCCTGTGCCTTGGCTCTGAAAGGCTTGCAGAAGATAATCACAACTTTACAACTAACGGGTGAATTGCAGATCATGTCTTACAAGAGGAAGCGTTATTCACAGCACTTCTCGGTCATTAACTGATTGGAATTACAGCCTTGATTTCATGCAGTGGCTATTCTGTGATGGTACCCGAGTTTCAAGCCTGGAATTTGAACTTCACACAACTCCATGAAGTCTTTAGGGGTTGTGGGGGTGAGGAGGGGATATACAATTTTAGCATATGTTTTCATTTGCAGCTTTTTTTTTTAGTACGTTCAATATTTCCAAATAAAATGGTCTGTAACAGGCCAATAGTGTTTATCTGATGCACCTTCCTTTATGAGTAGGTATCTGCTGCTGCTGAGGAAGATTTGGGTGGGTTCTGTTAGGTCCCTGAAAAAGGGGACATTTCACATTAAACCATTCAAATACAAAGCAGAGCAATCTTGTCTATAAAGAGTTATTCCAGTCTTGAGGAAATAACTTCAGGAACAAAAGAGCCTTGGACATCTGGTTTGCCTTTTTTTTTTTTTTTCTTCTTCTTTCCAGGACAATTTCCATACCAGAAAAGCACACACATGGCTGTGCATATGTTGTTTAATCTCTTAAATTGCAATTATGATCAAAAAATGAGGAAGGAAGTCTATGACTAAGGAGAGCAAAGCAGAGGGGGAGTCAGGCATATAGGATAGACCGATATTCTTGGCTTCTCCTTCAGGGAATAGATGTCATCTGTCATTCCCCCTAGCCTGGAAGAGATTATAGCAAAGGGATATGCTTCATCCATAATGATGCGATCACCTTTTCTGCTCCTCAGGGAGGTGAAGATGGTGAAAGAAGAAGTTTGTTTCCCTCAAAAGCCTGGCAAATAAATTCTAGCAAACAGCAAAAAACAAGAGAGCAAAAAGATACCCAAGGGAATTCAGACATGCTGTGTCATAGCTGTATGACATATGTGGCTATTCCAGTTCCTGGGATATGTGGATTTGTCCTTTCTTTAAAAATTGATTATGTTTGTTCTCATGCCTTCTTTGGCAGTTTCCAGCGGCTATTTCCCCTCAAGTAAGATGCAGGAATGTGCAGAACAATTAAAAAAAGTTACTTGGCCGAGCTTCAGGTTAAACACCTTGCACGTGACTACTCAGCTGTTCAAATAAAGTTAGATTAGTTTCTCCCAATATATAGTTTTGTAAATTCAGTCTTAACAGTTTTGATACGAAGTATTATCTTCAGTGGAGGAAAAACCAATTTTTTGTTATCATTTTGCAGGTGGCTTCAGGTGAATGCAATGAAGACACTGAGGTTTACAACATTACCCTTAGTACTGGGGATGAACTCACTTTAATGGGGCAAGCAGAAATCCTTTATGCAAAATCTTCTAAGGAGAAGTCACGACTCAACACCATCTTCAAAAAAATCGGGAAACTTAATTCAATTAGTAAGCTAGGCAGAGGCAAAATGCCCTGCCTAATCTGCATGAACCACAGGACCAACGAGAGCATCAGTCTCCCTTTCCAGTGTAAGGGCAAGTTTAGCACTCGCAGCCCGCTGGAGGTGCAGATGCAAGAAGGTGAGCACACAATTCGCAATATAGTAGAAAAAACCAGGCTGCCCGTTAATGTGACTGTGCCGAGTCCTACACCAAGAAACCCTTATGACCTGCATTTTATCCGGGAAGGGCACAGGTACAAGTTTGTCAACATTCAAACCAAGACTGTGGTGGTTTGTTGCGTGCTTCGTGGCAACAAAATTATTCCCATGCATTTTCCCTTGCATTTGACACTTCCAAAATTTACTTTACCCGACAGTCTGGTGAAGGGGGAGCTGTGGCATGAATCCCTCATCCAGCATTGGTTTAATATATGCCAGGAACAGTTTGACATAGATGAGTATTCCAGGGCCGTGCGAGATGTGAAAACCGACTGGAACGAAGACTGCAAGAGCCCGAAGAAGAGCCGATGCACAGGGCACAGCCACGTCCCGAACTCCCTCAGCTACGCGCGGGACGAGCTCACACAGTCCTTCCACCGGCTTTCGGTGTGCGTCTATGGAAACAACTTGCATGGGAATAGTGAAGTGAACCTCCACGGCTGCAGGGACTTGTGTAACGAGTGGGCCCTGTTCTCTCATGATGCTCTTCAGTACCAGGAGTCTGGTGACAGTAGCAGTGATTACCTTTTCCCTGAAGTTAGCGAAGAATCGATGTTTCTGCCTCCAAAACCAGAACTTCCTTATGAAGAGCTGTGGCTGGACCAAGGGTCTGGAAAGGCTGGTGACCAGCCTCTCACTCGCTCGCTAAGTGAGAAGAACAAATGTGACAACTACAGAGGGTCTTTCCGATCAAAGTGTGGTGGTACTGCATCTCTTCCTGTGCCTGCAACTGTTGGAGCAACCACAAAGTCTTCAGATGTTTCCCTACCTCCACCTCCAGTGCCTCCCAAATCGGAAGCAGTAAGTCAGGGTTATTTATGTTGGTTTGTTTCTTTTTTTTAGCTGGTGAAGAGTTTGCTTGGGGATTTTTTTTTTTAGGCAAGACTTGGCAGGGGAGGGGGGAAGACAGAGAAATGATGAGACTTTGTGAGATGTGCAACTTCAACTAGTTTCCTAACAAGTGTAAGTCATGTCCTAAAAATCACCGGAGTATACTTAATATAACTGATCTAGTAGCTTAATCCCGATACTTTCAGGTGGTATTTATTGGATTATTTTTTTTCGCTCCCACAAACAAGATCTATGAATTGCTATGTCATTTCCTTCCCTGGCTTTCCACGTCACTTCTCCATGTGGCCTCCATGTTTTCCTCATATCTTCTGTGGCCAAAGTGTGTGGGGCATGACCCCAGTTGGAACTACCTTAGATCACCTTGGTGTTTGCGTCTTCAATTAACAGGCCCTCATAATGAGGACAGCTAGAATTTTTATGGATTTGAAGTGTTTGTTAAGAAGAGATTGTGTTCCCTGTTATGAGTCTATGGCAGATTTTGAAGAATATTAAGTGCCTTGACCTGAAGGAAACTTTATCAAACTAGACCTGAACTAATTGCTCTGTACTGCATATTGAAAGAAAACATGGAACTCCGCAGAGTTGATAAATGAGCCTTCTAGAGGACTCAATTTTAAACAGAGCATGTTTCCTCTCCTAGAGTTTCTAATGAAAACTCCTGGGAGAAATCACTTCTCCAAACCTGAAATGTCATGGAGACTTCAGAGGCAAAAATACAAATATGTTTTATCAACAGGAGCTTACATGGACTGAGTGGAAAATCCAACCATTACATGATCTATTGACGTAGTACTAAATGTTATTTTTTTAAAAAACATGAAGGAAAATAGAAAACTTCCCCAGGGAAAGAGTGTCTAGGAATCTTTAGCAAAAGTTAAACGATACATACTTACGTCACATGAATCTTGATGGATATTATAATTTAACAAACTAGTTTTGCAGGATTTTTGCTGGAATTTAAATAAAGAAAATGTTTTTCCATTTGCAAGTCCAATGATATTTTGAAGAGCAGGGCTGTGCGGTAAGCTGAAACTAATGTAAGACCAAACTGCAGCAAACCATGGTGACCCCATCCCTTTCCTATTGCCATCTAACAGTCCAGCAGCGTTGGCCCTCGCCTTTCCATCATGAGCCAGGTCACAATCTGGTTGAAAGCTAAGTTGTATTTATTTGTGCTGGGTTAGCCTGCAGCGGATTGCCGTGGGGATCCCCCCGGCCAGGCGGTGCAGCAAGGAGAGGAGGAGAACGCCAGTGCAGGCATAAAACACACAACTGCAGCCCTTTAACCCTTTTGCCAAAACTTCCCCAAAAACCACCCGCAGCAGCTTCAGCAAAGACAAGAAAGTCAAGATATTACATCTTCTTAGCAAAAAGTGGTTACATGTAATGTCCTAAGTGCAGGAACTCAAGAGCAATTCCTTGCCTCCGAGGTCAGGTATGCACTGCTGCTTTGTCCAGACTCTTTTGGACAAGTGCCCAGCAGCAGTGTATCGGGATGAGGTTACCCGGCAGCCTACGCTGATGTAAACCGGCATGGGGCTGGTCCCACCACCATCCTCCTCCTCCTCCTTCTCCTTTCCCAGCCACATGGTCCCG